TGTACAACTGGTCCAGAATGCAGCATCATGGGTGATTGTGGATCAGAATCAGAATAGAGCTAGAAGGGACCTTGGAGATCTTCTAGTCCAACCCCCTGCTCAAGCAAGAGATCCTATGCAATTTCAGCCAAGTGACTGTCCAGTCTCTTCTTACAAACTCCAGTGATGAAGCCCCTACAAATTCTGAATGCATGCTGTTGCACTGGTTAATTGCCCTCACTGCTAGGAAATTTCACCTTAATTCCAGGTTGTTTCTCTGATTGTTTAGTTTCCATCCATTGTTCCTTGTCTTGCCTTCTGGTGCTTTGGAAAATAAGTTGACCCCCTCCTCTTTGTGGCAGCATCTCAAATACTGGAATACTGCTATCATGTTCCCCCCGGTCCTTCTTTTCTTTAGACCAGCCAAACCCAAATCTTGCAACTGTTCTTCGTATGTCTTCGTCTCCAGGTCCTTAACCATCTTAGTTGCTCTTCTTTGCACTTTTTCCAAAGTCTCAATATCTTTTTTGTAATGTGGTGACCAAAAACTAGATGCAATATTCCAGGTGTGGTCTTACTAAGGCTTTATAAAGCAGTACTAATACTTCATGTGATTGTCAAGCATCCAGAAAGTATCCATGATATCAATCACTCTAAGACGTTATCTCTCCAATTTTACAGGCAAATGGTGTTTCTAAATAATTTTAAAAACAAGGATCGTATGAGCTTTTTTTGCCTGCTGCCCCACACTTGCTGACTCATGTTTAAGGATGCTTCTCACTAAGTCTGTATGCTGCCACCACCCGGTGGAGCTGCACTGGTTCCCAGGCAGCTTCCAAGTGCAACTCACAATGCTGCTTATCCATTTTGCATCCCTAGTCTTCCTACCCCTTATGCTCTGATAGGAAAGGCATGATTCAGATCTCTTCATTCAAACAATGAAACATCTCGTTAGTATATAGGGTTGCCAGCAAAAGGAGAACATGTATTAACAGGCATAGTGTTAAAATCAGGTATTGTCTGTTTTTTTTTTTGTTTTTTTTAAATCTACAAGCTATCTCTTCCTGAAAAGATTTAATCAGTGACACACTGAAAGCTTTTGCCTCCTAACCAGCTCTAGCACATTCTTGGGATTGAAAAACTAGCCTGATGCCAGCAAATCATTCCTTATACACGCAGGCCTCTCTCTTTTTTTCTTATTGCATGCAGTTTTCCACTGTAATTTTTCTTGCAGATGCCAAAATAGTTAAAAAGTTAATGTGTTCTCTTCTCCCCACCTCCATTTGTCCTTCTTTCTAATGGCCCACATCCTCCTTTGCTGATTCAGATATCTGGTAGCTCCAATCTGATGGGTCCCAGGAAGTATTCAAACAAGTTCCTGACGGCAGGACAAGAAAAAAATGGATGGAAACTAATTAAGGACAGAAGCAACCTGGAACTAAGGAGAAACAACTTGCCACCAGAAGTTGTGAATGCTCCAACACTGGAAATATTTTTTAGAAGAGATTGGACAACCATTTGACTGAAATGGTATAGGTTTCCTGCCACGGCTAGGGGTTGAAATAGAAGACCTTCAGGGTTCCTTCCAACTCTGTTGTACTGTTCTGTTATGTATGCATTTGGTGATGGTCTCTATCTCCTGGCATGCAGTTGGACCAACTGTCCTGGTCTTCAGGAAGCCTGCTGAGACATGGCTCTTTCCCTGGTTGTGATGTGCTGGAGCCCCAATTGGATGTTGATGTTATTTCTATTGGGATCACCATTTTATTTTATTTTATTTTAATTGTTTCATTATTGTTTGTAGAATTGTGGCTTTAAAAGGATACCTTGGTTGATGGTCTTGCAAACCAATGAGGGATCAAGGAGCAATAGGATGGAGTTACCACCCTCATGCTAGCTCTGCCACAGGCCATCAAGAAATCTGGATTTTCTTTACAGCCTCTCTCCAACTCTCCAACTTTCCCCAATTTCTCTTACTGTATCACATTTGAAGGTGGCTCAGTGGCTAAGACGCTGAGCTTGTCGATCAGAAAGGTCAGCAGTTCAGCAGTTCGAATCTCTAGCACCACATAACGGAGTGAGCTCCCGTTACTTGTCCCAGCTTCTGCCAACCTAGCAGTTCAAAAGCATGTAAAAATGCAAGTAGAAAAATAGGGACCACTTTGGTGGGAAGGTAACAGTGTTCTTTGTGCCTTTTGTGTTTAGTCATGCCGTTCACATGACCATGGAGACATCTTTGGACAGCGCTGGCTCTCCGGCTTTGTGATGGAGATGAGCACCGCCCCCTAGAGCTGGAAACGACTAGCACGTATGTGCAAGGGGAACCTTTACCTTTATCTTATTCTTTTGTGTTGTAGGTTTTGTTGAATTTTTTGGGACCCATCCAGAGTTATCTTGGTTGAATTGGACAGCTCTAAAAGTATAACTAGAATACAGATGTGGTTCTACATTAGGCATATATATGAAAAGCCCCCTTATAAAAGACAGGTTCTACAAGCCCATCTAAAACAGCGCAAAAAGCAGGAAGACAAATTTCAGCTTACAAACCATATAGAGAATGTTGGCTTTGAAGAAGACACAAAAAGGTTTTGAAAATATAACATGGCTTCAAAACAACTGAAAGTCCTCTGCTAAACTGGATAAGATAATGATGTTCTAGTGCACAGGTGTCAAACTCGCCACGTCACATTGTCGTCACGGGATGTATTGCAACAGTTTTTTTCCCCTTCACAGAGCTGGGGTGGGTGGGAGTGGTTTGACACCCCTGTTCTAGTGGAAAGAATCAGGAGAGGGAAGAGAACTGTCAAGGTGACATTTGACAATGTTTGAGAGACCAATTAAGCCTCACTGGAGAGTAAAAAAATGTATGGGAATTGTAGTCTTTTGCAGCCATCATATAAAACAAGGTATCATAGATGATGGTCATCCCACAGTCTGATTCTTCTAACCCAGCCTAGTCAATAAGACTAGGTGGAACAGATATGAACATGTGAATAAAACTTTTAATTCAGAAGATGAATAAAAACAATAAACCTATTTTTACTTCTACAGGTTTGTACCTTTGGATACCTCCAGTATCCCTGGAGGTGCTTTCTGACACAGGAAAAGGTATTTTATAAATACTAAGATGTGCTGTTTCTTGTTGGTCTGCTCCATGTAGGATCTACGGTTGAGTGCTTATACATTAGTAAGGTCAAAGGCTTGAGGTGAACTTTAGCTTAGATGAAGGCAAAAAGAAGATATGAGCAAGTGAAGAGAGAACCAGCTTTGAAAAAAAGAAAATCAGTCCAGGCAAATAGTGTTTCTAAATAATTTTAAAAACAAAGGGGGATTATATTTGTTCAGGTGGTTGCAATAACCCTGAAGAAAGTTTAAAGGTCCTGCCAAGGAAATTATGTCAGGAGCTTGAGTGCTGATGGAAGACTATTCCCTAGAGCTCATTTGGTTTGCAAACAGCTATGCCAACATTTTCAACTCTTGGTTTGCAAGATCTCTCCCCTGTAATCATGAAGATTCATCAGGTTTTGTGGTCTCAGCAGGTGTCCCTCCGCCCTCTTACACATGGAAAACAAATAAAATCCACTCGCTTTTGTTAAGGAAAACTAATGAGAATTGCAGCATGACGCTAGTCTTGCAGTGAAGATCTGAAAATATTCATAAATACCCATTTGAACTGCTCAGTATTTCTAGTCCCTGCACTGCAGATCTGCAAAATGGGCTCGCAGTTGCACATATAGCTACATTCTAATCAGTTGGAATTGCCCTGTATGTTTTTAACATATTTTCTGGATCTACATGATACAATGAGTATTTATACATCAAGTTAAGCCACAAAAAAACTAAGCTCAAGACACAGTGAAAATGCAACTGGGTTTTCGCATATTTGTAAACAGCCTGCAGAACCATGGCAGGAATTATTTCCATGCTCTCAGTTCAGTTTTGCCTGGAGCATTAACTGAGCTAAAAGCTTCATATTTATCATTCAACATTTCAATATTCAATATTTTGCCTCAAACACACAACACTTCAGCTCTTAGCTCAACAGCTTGCCTCTTATTGCCACTAACTTGGCACTAATGATGAACATTAAACACACAAATGTATACAATGATTAGGTCTAGGGAAATGGCCTCTGCCTTGCTCGCTTTGCCAAAAATTATTTTTCAAATAGCATGCTTGAATTTTTAGTGTTTACTTGTGGAGTGGCAATTTGAAGCTCCAGTCCAGAATACAATAGGCAGTGCATTTGCACTTTGTGAAGTGCACTAGTACAAGGAAAGACCTAATCTTAAAGCATTAAAGCAGCCATGTCCTCCAGAAGGTTCCCCATAGCTACTTTAAAACTCTTCCATATTGTCTGCATAAGTACATGATGCAAAGAGCACATTTCCACTGGAACCATCAGCAATGTGAAATATCTATATAGACATACATACAAAAATAACCAAAGAACGTATTCGAAACAGTCTTACCGAAAAGATGTGGCTGCTTTAACATTCAAGCATCCCACCCTTGAACTGATTCATTTGAGCAGTGTTTCCCAACCTTGGAAGTTTAAGATGTGTGGATTTCAATTCCCAGAACTCCCAGGCCGATAAATAGCGATAGAAATTGCACTTTGATTTATATACCACTTTATAGTGTTTTACAGCCCCTCTCTAAGTGGTTTTACAGAGTCAGCCTATTGCCCCCAACAATCTGGGTCCTCATTTTACCCACCTCAGAAGGATGGAAGGCTGAGTCAACCTTGAGCCTGGTGAGATTAGAACTGCCAAATTGCAGGCAGCTGGCAATCAGCAGAAGTAGCCTGCAGTACTGCACTCTAACCACTGCGCCAACGCGGCTCAATGGACCATTTTAATCTTTTTAAATGTTCAATATTCAAAGAAGGTTTAAATATTGAAGGAACAAGTACCTCTTTTTTAATTTTTACACACACACACACACACACACACACACACACACACACACAATTTATTTATTTCTGGTACCCAAGTACTGAAAGTTCTTGACGTCTTTACCTGTAAGGATAATTCACTGGAGTTGAGGTCTAGAATGCCTCCATCTGAAAGACGGGAGCGGTAATGGTCTCCTGGAAAAGGGAAGTCTGCTGTGAGAAACTGATCGTCCCCTTGATTCTCTGCTTTGGATGCCACTGAATGCAACCCATCCAGGGTGCAATGTCCATTCTCCTGCTCCGTTCTGGAGGTGCTCTTGTTGTCCTTACCCCCAGAAACAGTTCGGGTAATGACCCCAAACTTTCTCGTCCTTTTGCCATTTGGGGTGGTTTTCCCACTGGGTTCGGAGGTAGGCCTGGCTTTGGGTTCGGTGCTCTTACTGTTGTTGCCATTTGACGGAGGAAGTGGGGCCTTGCGCTTGATTCGGCGTAACATGATCAAGTAGATGAAGCCGCCATTCCAGCACTGATCAGCCAGATAACTGCAGGGAGGAGAGAAGAAAGAAAAATGCAAGCTTTTATATATTTGCTTGGGAAAGGTAGTTGTTGTTTGTTGCAAAGTCATGTCCAACCCATTGTGACCCTACGGACAACATTCCCCCAGGCCTTCTAGTCCTCTATCATCTTCTGGAGTCCATTTAAGCAGTAAAGGCAGGATTTCGAAGAGGCAGAGGAACTAGAGATCAAATTGCTAACATATGCTGAATCATGGAGAAAGCTAGAGAAAGGTAGACAGGGACCTAAATCAATAAGCACCCTGCATCTTGAATGTCCCAAAGGTGCTTTTCAGGAGGCAATTGGACTTTCGCTTCTCATCCAAGAAGCTTCTTCAGCTCGGACAGGATGGTGGGGAATGGATCCTGTCAGAGCTGAAGAAGGTTCTTGTCTTCAAAAGAAAACAACAAGAAATTCCAGTTGCCTCCTGAAAAAGCACCTTTGGAACAACCATGACTTGGATGACTGAGAATCTCTACAGCAGGGGTGTCAAACTCACGTCGTCACGGAGTCGTCACGTGACAAATCAGGACCTTTCCCCCCTTCGCTAAACCAGGCGTGGGCAGCGCGTGACACATCCAGTTTGCAGGCCGGGAGTTAGACAGCCGTGCTCTACACCCTGAATCTTGAATCTGTGTTAGAAACGCGAGCTTAGAAGTTTCATTCGGATTATGTCAAGCGTTCCCCATGAATTTCTTGCATTTCATATAGAATCAACTCTTCAGAGACCCGTTCTGGATTCCATATAAGTTGCAACAATGCGGTTTTTATGGTTTCACGTGCGGAAAAGAGCAACCCCTTACAGTCTGATCCATTTGGAATGGAGCATTTCTTGGGATTTAAGGGACACTGATGTGAAGCCCTTCCAAATCCCTCGTGGAAAGTTGCCAAATAAACTTCCCCAAGAAAAGCCTGAGAACAAATATAGATAGTCCTTGACTTAAGACAAGTTGCTTAGCAACTGTTCGAAGTTACATCCTGGAAAAAAGGGAGTTACAACCCAGTTGTGAAGGTTACCCACCTTCCCACGCTCTGGGTGCTCAGCAACCCAACTGCATTTACATCTGTTTGCAGCATCCCAATGACCACATTTTGCGATGGTTTTGCTAAAAACCAGCACTAACTTAGAAGTTTTCAGTAAAACCACACCATATCAAATAATGGGTTCACTGAATGTTCCCTGTGTTCACTTTATGACTGCCGTGTACATCTGCTGCACAAAAGGTCATAAACTCATTTTACCATTATCACATAAATGGCAGGCTCCAAGAAGCGTGTATGTAAGGATTACCTGTAGAGATAGTCCTCAAACTATCCTTGTAGTCCTTACGACCACAATTGAGCCAAAAATTCATATTGCTAAGTGGGAAATGTGTTAAGCGAACCTTGCCCTATTTTATGATTTTTGTTGCCACATTTATTAAACGAATCGCCTGTCAGCATTCCAGCAAACCTCCATTCCAATCAGTAACTCCGAGACAAGTATATCTCAAAAGTACTTTTATTAGAATAACACCTGGCACATCTGTGGAATCCCGAATTTAAAAGTTTCCGGGCTTTCCACAATTTCCCAAACTACAAATCCATCCTCCCTTGGTCGTCATCACATCACATGGCCCAGTCACGATCCATCCAAAAGTAAGATCCTTATTTCATCCTGCGCCATACTAAATGACCTTGAACTAACAGAATAATTTTATTTTGTCTACTTAGAGCAACTTAATTGAAATCACCCCCCCCCCCCACTTTCTCAGGCTATGTGAGAAAGCGTGGAATATGGCTTCCAAAACTGACATTGCTGCAGTTGTCAAATTACTAACAGGATTAAGTGAGACTGGCTTCCCCATTGACTTTGCTTGTCAGAAGGTCGCAAAAGGGGATCACGTGACTCGGGGGCCCTGAAACCGTCATAAATGTGAGTCAGTTGCCAAGCATCCAAATGTAAATCACGTGAGATCATGGGAATGCTGCAACGGCCATAAGTGTGAAAAACAGTCATAAGTCACTTTTTTCAATGCCGTTGTAATTTTAGACAGTCAAAGTTAAATGAATGGCTGTAAGTCAAGAGCTACCTGTACTGCATTGTAATGAATGCATGAATGAATTGTCTCTGCAGAGACCTCCACAGGATCTACAACACTCTGACATGTTTAGCACGATATGGAAGGATCATAAATATTCCAATTGCTTACTGATCACAACACAGAAACTTCACAGGACTCATATTAAAAAACAATTATTACCAACCTGGGGTGCTCACATTGCATCACTGGTCAAAAGGGCCCAGCAGAGATTATACTACCTGAAACTTCTCAGAAAACAACAACTGAATGAGAAACTGCTGGTGACCTTCTACCGCTGCACCATAGAGAGTATCTTCACTTACTGCACCTCTGTATGGTTTGCCAATTGTACAGTAGCAGATAGGAAAGCACTCCAGAGGGTTAACGTCATTGCCCAGAAGATCGTTGGTTGCCCTCTCCCCTCTTTGGAAGAGCTTTATAGCTCCCGCTGCCTTAAGAAAGTCCAAAACATTCTCAAAGATCCATCTCATCCTGGGCACCCTTTTTTTGAACTATTACCATCTGGCAGATGGTACAGAATAATAAAAACAAGGACAAATAGGCTGAAAAACAGCTTCTATCCCAGGGCAGTAGCTTTTTTCAATTCTGTATAGTACAGTATTGTTGCGGTGTCGGGGTTTTTTGGTTCAATGTGTGGAGGGTGAAGGATGTGTGTTTGTGTTTATTTTCATGGTCATGATGTGCACTGAAGATGGTGTTTGATTTTGTTGTATGAGGTGCAATGACAATAAAGTAAACTAAACTAAACTAAACCTGCCTTCAATCGAGGACCTGTATACTGCACAAGTCAAAAAGAGGGCTGTGAAAATATTTACAGACCCCTGACATCCTGGACATAAACTGTTTCAACTCCTACCCTCGAAACAACACTATAGAGCACTGCACACCAGAGCAACTAGACACAAGGACAGTTTTTTCCTGAATGCCATCACTCTGCTAAACAAATAATTCCCTCAACACTGTCAAACTATTTACAAAGTCTGCATTATTATTACTATTAATCTTCCCATCCTTCCTTTCACCCATCTCCTCCCACGTATGACTGTATGACTGTAACCTTGTTGCTTGTTTCCTAATTATTTTTATTGACTGTTTCCTAGTATGATTTGATTGCTTATTGTACCCTATGACTATTATTAAGTGTTGTACCTTATGATTCTTGACTCTTGACAAATGTATCTTTTCTTTTATGTACACTGAGAGCATTTGCACCAAGACAAATTCCTTGTGTGTCCAATCACACTTGGCCAATAAAGAATTCTATATTCTATTCTATATATATTCTATAAAAGATCCTGATAGTTTGATACTACATTTACTGCAGAAGGGGTACTCAGCCGGTTCAGGTGGGTTCTGGCAGACTGGAAGCAAAAATTTTGACTAGTTTGCAGAACCGGCAAATACCACCTCTGGCTAGGCCTGCTCACCCACCCCTGCTCTTTCCTCTGCTATATTCTGTTGTTTCTTAGCTCAGCTGATCTGCGTGGCACAGCGGATTGCCGTGCCTCAGCTGAGCTAAAAAAACAGCACAGCTCACCAGCGTTGATACAGAGGCTGGTGTTTGAGCCCTGAGTGCGAAGCGAGCTCTTTGAACCAATAAGAAACTTTTTTGAAACCCACCATTGATTTATTGCCAGGAACAGCTAGTTGAAGAACACAGAAGTTGCTTTCAAACAGGAATAGGCAATTTGGTGTGCTCTTGATGCTTGGCTTAATAATTCCCATTTTCATTACAACCCTTCTTTCGTCCTCAGTCACTCCCATTTATAATAAGGTGCTACCCTAAAATAACATACAGCAAAGTTTTATAAGGTCTACTGAGCTAATTTAAGTGAAATATGAGAACAATGTGTACACATGTAAATTTAATTTCTAAAGAAAAAATGAATTTCAAATCCAGTGGTTCTAAGGAAAATTGGAATAGTTATTAGTTTGGAATTTCTCATGAGGAAAGCGTTTCAATTATTTCCTTACAGAATTTAAAACTGATGTGGAATCGGGAGCAAATCTTCATTATATTCACTCAACCTACAGGGTTAAAGAGCTCTGTAAATAACTTCAGGGATGTGTCTATGCTCACAACTGACTCTGATTAAAGATTTAAATGTAGTTACACCAAGTAGGAAACCTTGAACAAATAAGACCAGGAGAGAAGCCCAGGTGTAGAGTTGTAATTGCAGGAATGTTCCAATCTCGGATGGCAAACCTCAGATAAAGAATGTTTCCAAGCAAATACAACTCAGGTAAACAAAGTCACTAATCTAAAGGAGGACAGAGAGAGGAAGTAAACATATGTTAGACTTTAACTAGAGATAATTAATTGTATGGATTACTGTGCTAAACAGCAACGAAAGTTAAGCAGTAACCAAACTTGTCATTACAACACCCAGGGAATGGAGATCTTGACAGATCTTAAGTGAGAAAGCAAGAGAAGCAGAACTGCATAGATGATAGATCTTCTTGAAAGCCATTGTAGAGTTAAGAGGCTTGCTGATACCTGAAGCTATGCTATCCTGTATCAGCTCTTTCCCCATCTACCCTTCTTGGTATTTGTTGTTGTTGCTCAGTCACTAAGTTGTGTCCAACTCTTCACAACCCCATGGACCAGAGCACACCAGGGGGCCCTGTCCTCCACTGTCTCCCGTAGTTTGCCCAAATGGATGTTCACTGTGTTGATCACCATCTAACCATCTCATTCACTACTGTCCCTTTCTTCTTTTGCCTTCAATCTTTCCCAGTCTTTTCCAATGAGTCCTCTCTTCTCATTAGATGGCCAAAGTCTTTGAGCTTCAGCTTCTCCAATATTATATTCAATGGGTTTTAATATTTGATGGTGGTGCAGTGGTTAGAATGCCGTATTGCAGGCTAACTCTGCCCGTAGCCAAGAGTTTGAACCTGAGCAG